ATTCTTTCCTCCTAGTTGAAGACTTTAGAAAAGTAGCTTGTCAGCTAGTCAAAAAGTCCTAGAATCTTGCAATAAATTTTTAAAATAATCTTACGATAATTTTACAATTGAAAAATTTCAAAAGAAAACCATAAAAATAATAAGCTACAAATTGACTGTCAAATTGTAATTCGATATGATAGCAAGAATGTGCTGTATAATGTTATGGTTATTATGCAGATACAGTGCACTGTGCAAGGCAGAGGTAGTATTCCTTTCCTGTATAGCTGTGGTCTGACATCATCTGAAACTTTTCTGAAAATCTCAGTTTTACTGTCTGTGAACAAGCTGCATATGTGCATGACGGGGAACAGGGCAGAATGTGTGGTCTTGACACGTAAGGCTTTTTCTGTGTGTAGTTTTTTCTTTGTCAGAGAGTAACGCTGATAGAGGAGTAAAAACAACTTATAGTTCCGTTCAAAATGACTGTGATCCTATTCCTTTGTATTTCTTGTTTGTCTCCCATTGTTTGCACCTTAATCATCCTTTCTTCCTCTGTATGCATCTTCTTGGAGTAATGTATTTCATGACCCTGGGAGTACTCCTTTTCAATACCAAGTAGTAACAAATTTCTATGTTTCCCACTATATAATTGCTTTTCAACAATGGTTGTCCTGTGCAGCTTGGCAGCAGTTAGGAGGTGACATTAAAAAAATTGACACCAGACAGATCCATCCAAATTTATTAGTTTGATCCCCAGCTTCCAGTAAAAATCTCTGGCCACTGTAGGAATGTTGAGAATGAGCAATGTAATACTAACTGTTAAACCAAGGTTTAATATTTTAGGAAAAAATCTAACAATCCTTTATAAAAATGAAATCAATGAAATTTTAGAAGAATTGTATTATCTGATCCTTTATCAGATTAGAATTTCATTATTCATAGATGGAAACAGCAAGGAAGTTTCTGCAGAAATCTTTCTGGGGTCTCAGATAAGTGTTTCCATGATTCAGAAATTATTTATTGCATATTTACGATGTATAGTATGTATGGCAACTTCTGCATTTGATAGTTTTTTTGTGGTGGTATGTAGGAACTGCCTCTTGGTTTGCATGAAAGTAAGGTACAGAAAATTACATTTATAACAGGCTAATTTGTCCTACAAGGCCACATGTCCCAGTAAATTTAAAGAGAACTCTAACAGCTAACTTAAATTTGCAGAGTAACTGGATGAATGTTTTGGTTTACTGTTTGTTTTGATTTGTTTCTTAAGATAATGTTAGTAGATGATAAAGTTTTCCAGTTGTGGTGTTTTCATTGTAAACATACTAGAAAAGAGAAATGACAAAATCACGCAATAGGATTCGTCAAGACTTCAGAGCATCAATGCATCAATGTCTGTCATTAAATTTAAAAGTTGGTAAAAAGTCTAACTGCAAAAATGCTCGTTGTCTCAAGCCAGGCAGCCTTCTGCAGTTTTCCATCATGTTATTAGCTTATTTTATGTAAGATCTTGTAGTTCATTTCAATGCAAGCAGAAATATATCCATGCTTCCTCTTCTTCCCTTGGATCAAAACCTTACATCCTTCTCTTTATAGTTAGGAAATTATCTTTTGGCCCGTGTTTTCTCTTGAGAGTCATAAGGAAAAGTGCTACTGCAGAAAGATGAGCAAGCAGGCCGAGTTACGTTTCCTCGTGTTTTAATTTGACTGTCTCTTCCGAAATTTCTCACTACCACCACCATATGACAAGTAGCAGTGCCCTTATTAAGTACTAAACAAACTGTATGTAAGTTAACTGAAATTTACACTCCGTTTATTGTTATTTCCTTGCTATGTCTAAGTAGAGTTTTTGGAGAGAAAGGACAGTTATTTTTTACTAATTTGTATAGACTCACTCTGCAACATGCTGTTAGAGCTGACAGTGTGAGAGAAAATAAAGTTCATCACTCACGTTGTGTTTCACATGACTTGTTTTACATGGTTTGCATTGCTTTTTACACCTTTGTGAGGTGAGTAGAATCCAATTGTCTGAAGAGGGGTTGCTCTGAATAGAGTGCTGGTCGTTACTATTTGAAATTGTCCAAAAGCTTTTATTTTGTGTTTAAGACAGTGTTCCTGGGGTATGCAGGGGCTTCTACACAGGGAGAGAAACACTAGTCCATCTGTTTCAGCATTCTTTCATTCAAGGAGCACGTGCTTCAGAGGACAAGTTAGAAACTCTACAGTTCCTAGCTTCTTCCAGATAAAAAGTCTTCCATAGCACAGTAGTTACATGTTGACTTTGAATGTGAAGAGCTAGGGTTGTACGCCATTCTTAGGCTTGATGGAGCAATTGTGACTTTGTCGTAAGATGTATCTAGTAATTGGGTTTTAGTATTACCTTTTTACACTGTCGTGTTATTGAGATGGCTGTGTTTTCTGAAGTGTTGCTTCCTTGAACCATATGATGGTCCTGCTTGCAAAAATTAAAGCTCTTCATCTTGCTGGCTTGGGGTTTTGTTTGACCACCTAATTTGATCTCCAGGGAGCAAAAGCAACAAGCAGTGGAATTAGAAGAAGGAGTCATTCCAGATTCTCCAGTTCTGACTTCTTCATTTTCTGTGGTTAATCGTATGAGAAGAAAAAAAGAGAATAGGCACATCAGATACACAGAACACACACGCTCAGATTTGGAACTTGCGGAAAGCAACAGTGGTAAGAGTATTGTGGGTTGCTTTTTTAATTAATTTTATTTTTTTAAG